TGAGAAAAATTCTCTAAAATTCCATTTTATATTTTTACATACCTTCTTAAGTCCTTTTTGGAGTAATGCCATGTACAACTAAATAAACCAGTTAAATGGAGTCAGAATCGTTATGGATAAAGTTGAGGCACATACACTTGTTTTTGTGAATCTAATGATTTATATTAAATGACTTGTCTATAAATCAACGGTGAGAATTCTTGATGTAGCTTGCAAATCCTAGAAAACCTCATGCCAGCAACTCAGGTTAAATCACAGATGAGTTCTACATTTTTCGGAAGTGTTTCTAATGTCATTTTATCTCAGGACATCTCCAAAGAAATGAAGAGAGATTGCGTTTGATGGAAACCTAGGAGGACAGTAATACAGAAACAAATCTGATCATAAGGAGATAAATCTGGTAGAGCGGCATTTTCAAAAGAATCCCTCGAGGCCACATTTAACTGCATTTTCTGATGAAAGTAAATCATAAGTTTAAATAGAAAAAATATGTAATTGCTTTTACTTACAGTGCTGGCAAAAAATTGTAGATTTGTATAAAAAGAAGAAAAGAGATCAATTAACAGAGTCCCTGCTAAGGAAAGCTAAAACCTAGAGGCAAGGTTTCAATTTAATTTTTTGCCCTTTATTGATTTTCCTCCCATGTCTTGAATGGATGGTTCCCTCTAAAAGATCAACTATATGTTAAAAACAAAATCTCAACACTTATTGAATTACAGAAATGTTCTTGAATTATGTGTAATATTCTTTCATCTTTTCTGCCTCTAGGGGGAAGTGTGTTTTCAACAATTCTGTCCCCAGAGGACACTTTCTTTGTGGGCTACAGGCTTCATAGGGTTATTCTTCAATATGACTTCAGGGCTGGCTTAACAAGGGAGAGGAGATACTCTTTGAAAGGCACTTTAGAGATTGCTGCCCGAATTCTGAGGGAGATCACATAGACTGTGACAGTTGGTAGAGAAAACTTCCTTCTGATATAGCATTTCTAACACATTTCAAAGAATCACCGGTTGAGGTTCCCTATAGAATGTTGTCTTCCCTGGTGGAAAAGGAATGCCATAGAGACATGATTTCATTTCACAGATGGAAAGCAAACAGCTGAATACTTTATAGAAAACTTGCCACTTGATTTTAGTAACAAAGTTAAAAAATATGATTTGTGGATATTGATGAGAGTTCTAAATCCTATAAAAAGTCTATTATTGATGTTTTCTGTAATATCACATTTAGGGCTAACATTGCTTTTTATTTGGCTAATTTTATTTTGCAGCATTTCCCTGTAACTTTCTTTTGTTTTCATTCAGTAATTGTAGTCAGAAAGAATGCACTCGGTGAAAAGGTTAGCAATCTTTTGAATGTTAAAAAAAGTGCTTCTTTTTTTCCCCATTTCAAGTTTTACAGAATTGAAGGGAACAATATTGAAAAATTGAGTCCAAGGGATGAGTTATTTCTATTGTTTCTTTTTTCCTACCTTCTTGATTTGATTCATCTTTGTGATTATGATGCTGCAAAAGTTATACTATAATCTATTAGTAATTGCGTTACTATGCTGCATATTTTCAAAACAGCTTCGTATAAAATCAAAGTTTGATGTAAAGCATGTTACTCCTTCATGAAATTTAACTTTGTTCCCAACACTCTTTTACATGGTATAATAAGTATTTATTTCTAATCCAATCCCATGTAAAAATATTCTCTGGGGATGAAGAGGTATTTATATTCTTTGGCCTAGATTCTCCACATAGAGAGTGAAGGGTCTCAGGCTAGGTGACTTCTAAAATTTTTCCAGCCCTAAGATTGGAGAACTTCATGATATGCACACTTTCAGTTGCCTGGGAAAATCTAATTTGATGGAAAGTGAATAAAACTGGTAATGTTAAATCCATATACATATATTACTTGGCAGGTCTTCCTATAATCTTGCGGCTATTTTCATTTGAAAAACTTTCTTCAAAAATCGTAAATTCTATAAAATGATGTCATGGGGATGTAATGTACAGCATGGTGACTATAGCTAATAACACAGTATTGCATATCTGAAAGTGGCTAAGAGCAGATCTGTAAGTTCTCATCACAAGAAAAAAAAGTTTTTGTAATTCTATGGTGACAAATGTCAACTAGACTTGCGGTGGTGATCATTTCACAATATATACAAATATCATATTGTGTTATATCCCTGAGACTAACATAATGTCGTATGTCAACTACAATAAAAAAATCCTGCTCAATGGAAAAATTTCTGTTCAATGGAAAAATGTAAGGTGTGCTTTGAGCATTAGCAAGAGAGGTAACATTGGCTTTTCTGGTACTGCTGCCTAGTTTGGGGGCTCTCCCTTACACGGTTTGTCAGTGCTCTTGAATGACAAACTGGAAGTTGAGAGCTCTGATCCAAAGGCCACTGAGAGGCTGCGATACTCGCTCTAACATAAGTGCACTGACTACCCTGCCCGTGACCCTTGGCGCGAACGGGCAGCGCCTGTTAGGGGAGAGGCGTTCACACCCGGTGCCACTGAAACCCCAGCCTTTCCGACTAAGCCCACGTTACACAGTGTGCGGAATCATATCGCCGTTGGCCAGTGTTCCCCAGACACGGGGCATAGCGAGCAGTAATAGTAAACCTTGGTTCCTTCACGTCTCCTGGCAACCAGTTTCGAAATCCATTAAGACCCTTGGAATTCGGGATTTAGCTTGTTTCTCTCTCTCCCTCTTCCCTCCCTCTTTCCCTTCTTCCCTCCCTCTTTCCCTTCCTCCCTCCCTCTTTCCCTTCCTCCCTCCTTCTTTCCCTCCCTCCCTCCCCCCTTCCTAAGAGTTCAGGGGGATTTTATTGCTGTGAAGCTCTACATCTCAATTTCCAGTATGTGAGGACTACCCTTTGTGTGGAATTAAATTGTACACAGATGCCTCGTTTGCTACTGGTTAGCAGCTGTAATAAAATAAATGAAAGTTTTCGCAGGAGTAATAAGGTCCTACGTGAAGATTCAGGGATCACAGTGCATAATCTGAACTCTAAATGCCCCGGAGGATGAGACGTTACTCATAATTACATTTACGGTGCCAGAAAGAGCGATAAGGAGGGTTCTGTTAAAGGTGACGAGCGCTGATGCCTGAAATTGCCACATCTCCGGAAACCCCAATTTGCCTTTTTATCGTCACAAATGAGAGCGACTGCACTTTGAGGCCTCGGCGTTAAACAAAGAAAAATAAAACAAAGACCAAAAAGCAAACTCAGCGCCTGGGGTGGTGGCATCGGGGTTACAAGTCGGCTACAAGTTTCTGCCGAAAGAGGGCGTTGGTCTCAGACTAATAGAAATTTGTGGACACGGACGCCCAAATGAAAGACCATTTTCAAACATTCTCAATTTATTTTAATTTGTGGGACTTCAGTGTCAGAATTCACCCGTCCAATGTAGTACGTTCCCACTGCAAATGACCTCGGTGTGTTACCACGTTCAGAGGGTCAAGCTCCACATTCGGACCTGCCCTGCAGCGCGGCGGACTCCGGCGAGCCTCCTCTGGCCACGGACTTCTCCACGGCCGTTTCCACCCTCGTCTCCACCGCTGCTGTGCCTGTGACAAGTGGCAAGACTGGGTCTTGGACGCAGGACCTTCCTCGGCACTACCGAAGCCGGAGCACAGGGTCTCGCGCTGCCCGCAGGAGAAGCGGTGGGATTTCCGAGCGCACGGATTGGAGCGGAGGACGCGCCTCCACCCAGGGGACCCTCGGGGTAAAGCTTTAGGGCGAGGGTCTCTTTATTTAATTACCTGGCTTAGCAAGTAAAGCCCAGAGGACGCCTTGGAGATGCTTTTCAAGCTTTCTTTCTGCCACCTTCAGAAGAAATGTTCTCTCGCCTTTGGAAGCAACAAGTTTAACTTTTCTGCTCGCAGCGCGCCGGCGGAGGTGTCAGTGCGGCGGCGACCCTGGATGCCCGGCAGCACTGCGACTCTGGCGCGAACTCGCGCGGCTCTGGGGGAGGAGGCCGGCGGGGGTGGGGAGCGCGGGAAGGAGGGATAGCTGGGACGCCTGGGCTAGCTGGGCGCTCCAGGTCCGCGACCGAGCCGTCTGCCCCGGGACCTTGGTCCCTGTTCCCTGACCTTGCGCCAGGGGACCGGGAAGGTCGAGTGCACGCCCCGAGTGGGCGCATCAGGAGGGAATGTGGCTGGAGTGAGAAAGAGGTGAGAGTCAGCGGGACCTAGGGTGTTTTTTTGTTTTTTGTTTTTTTTTTGCAACGAAACCACCAATTTCCAGGGCCACCTCCTTCCTTTAATCCTGTTGTGTTTTGCACGGCGTGGTGTGTGTGTGTGTGTGTGTGCCTGCGCGCGTTTCTTTACTTTCAGACATATTTCCATTTTTAAAGCCCGGACCTGGAAAGACAGCTGCCGCGTGCGGGCCAGGGAGAGGCGGGGACCCCGCTACACCCAGGTGGCTGTGTAGCGCGTTGGGGGCTCCCGCCGGTACAGAAGTGGGCGACTGTGGCTTTAAGGAAAAGGCCCAGGTCTGGCGGGGAGCGGGGAGTTAGGGACAGGGGAGGGGTGGGAAGAGTAGGGGTGCGGGGAGGAGTCCTGATGTAAGAATGTTAATGAGAGGCTCCCCTAGCCCAGCCGCCACCCCCCCACCCTCCCCACCCGCTGGAAATACAAGCTGGGCCTCGGCGCGCCTTGTGTGGTAACACGCTCCGCCGCTGCCACGCTATTTAAACGCGGGTTATGGATTCAGGAACCGGCGCGAATCAATGAGATCAAACGCGAGGGAGATGCACCGTCAATTACAAGCACTTGGACAAGTCTAACTTTTTCTTCTTTTACAAATACGCTTTCAAAAGCAACCTTAGCAATGCCCAAATAAGAAGCCACCTCTAAGCAAAATAGTATATATAAAGGGAGGGCGAATATATATATTTATAAAAAGTATATATATAAATATATTACAGACGTACAGGTTTACACCCAGTGAACTTTTTTTTTCTTTTTTTTTTAAACGAGTGGCATTGCAAAGGAGGACTCTTCCTCTCTCTTTTGGCGAGTTAGTGAAGGGGGTATTCTGTTTTCTTAGAGCGCCCAAGGGGGCGCAGGGACCTCGGAGAGAAGAGTGGGGAGGAAAGAGGAAGGGTCGGTGGGGGGCAGAGGGCGAGTCCGCACCGAGGGCAGGCGCTTTCCTGCGGCACGATGCCGTCCCTGCTGGTGCTCACTTTCTCCGCGTGCGTCCTGCTCGGTTGGGCGTTGCTGGCCGGCTGCACGGGTGGCGGTGTCGGCGGGGGCGCGGGCCCGGGCGGCGGGCGCCGGGAAAGAGAAGCGCTGCCGCCGCAGAAGATCGAGGTGCTGGTGCTGTTGCCCCAGGACGACTCGTACCTGTTCTCCCTGGCTCGGGTGCGGCCGGCCATCGAATACGCGCTGCGCAACGTGGAGGGCAACGGGACCCGGCGGCGGCTTCTGCCACCCGGCACTCGCTTCCAGGTGGCCTACGAAGACTCGGACTGCGGCAACCGCGCACTCTTCAGTCTGGTGGACCGCGTGGCGGCGGCGCGGGGCGCCAAGCCCGACCTCATCCTGGGGCCTGTGTGCGAGTACGCGGCGGCGCCGGTGGCCCGGCTAGCGTCGCACTGGGACCTACCCATGCTGTCGGCCGGGGCACTGGCAGCCGGCTTCCGGCATAAGGACACGGAGTACTCGCACCTCACGCGCGTGGCGCCCGCGTACGCCAAGATGGGCGAGATGATGCTCGCCCTGTTCCGCCACCACCAGTGGAGCCGCGCCGTGCTGGTCTACAGCGACGACAAGCTGGAGCGGAACTGCTACTTCACCCTCGAGGGGGTCCATGAGGTCTTCCAGGAGGAAGGCTTGCACACGTCCGCCTACAATTTTGATGAGACCAAAGACTTGGATGTGGACGACATCGTGCGCTACATCCAGGCCAGTGAGCGAGGTGAGCAGGAGTGCGCCTCGGGCCCCAGGCCCTAACCCAACCGCTCTCCGCGGCTCTCCCTACACGCTGGTCCGCTCCTCTGGGGACCCCACTACCCGCTGCGGCACTGAGGGGAGGGGCATGTGAGCCCGCAACTCGCTAGTGCTCTGGTCCAACAGGTGCTGTCAAAGCTCCTGGGTTTTTTCTTTCTCGCTTCCCTGGCTCCTGTGCCGGGCTTGTGGTTAGGGGCTCACTACGGGTGCCCTTCTCCAACCAGGGTCTGAAAGCGTGACGAGGCCGAAGGAACTTGTTACCCAGTCTTTGCCGACGTGCGCCCCCTTCGAGTGCGGAAGTGTACGCTCTACAGCAGACGCTCCGCCTCACGGTCCGCTCCGGTCTCCGGGTTTCCCGGCTGCTCCTCGCACAGATCCCAGCTTTCTTTTAAAGGCTCATTGTATCGCCCTTCTCATTCCTTCCCTGGCCCCTCCAGCCGCTTATGAACGGGCTTCTGTGGTTTCCATCAAAAATGCCTCGCAGTGTCTGGACTCTGGCGACACTCACCCCGGCGCGTTCGGCATCGCGGTCTAAAGCGCCGGCAGCTAGGCTTTGCTAGAGCGCGCGCGCTGGGGAAGCGGGCGCTGAACCTCCTTTCCACGTCCCCCCGCCCCCGCCCCCTTGAAGTTTTCTCCGCGGGTCTTTGGGGGTTTGAATAACCACCAACCTGGCCAAAGAGCTCAAGGCTGAGGCTAGTGTCTATGGCTACAGGGAATGGGAGGAGAAGCGGCTGGTCACGGATATATAATCGCGGAATCCCCTAGTGCGGCTGCCTCATTGTACTGCGATGGCGGGCGGAGATGCCAGCATAGCGCAGCTCCCTCCTTACCGATGTCAGGTTTGGGTGCATATCACTCAGGGTATCCTGCCTGCTCCCGCTCGGCGCGCACGCGCCTCGATTGTCAGTGGGGTGCAACCCCAACAAAGCTCCCCACTACCCGACGCGGGGAGACGGAAGGGGAGAGGGGCCGAGCCGGGCGCGGGGCTAGCCCACGACTTGGCACGGCTGGGCACCTGGGCGCTGGTCGTGGGAGACAGCGCAAGCGGAGGCAGGGGGCCTCAGGAACAGGTGAGAGTGGGTAAAGGTTCCGAAGAGGATGGCGCTGCGGTCATCCGCCTTCCCAGTTTGACTACTTCGGACTCGGAGTGAACGCACTTTTTAGAGCGAAGAGGCGGGAAGTGTTGACAGTGGGGATGCACGGCCAAGTTTTGAGCGTTCGAACTCCAGGCTGTCTGCGCCGAATTCCTGCCAGCCAAGCAGGCGGGGCGCCGACTTCGCTGATTATGAAAAAGGGCACTTGTGTACAATGGCTGCGGATTCGCCACGCCAGGCTGAGAAAGCCACATCTGCTCTCCCAGTCTCAGTCCCCAGGTTACTGCAGACCCCTGCAGACCTCGGGCTGCTCTAGACCCCGAACCTGATTATTCAGCTCTCGCTCTCGAGGGCTTGGAGCTAGGAGTTGGAGACTTCCCAGCTTGGGCTGGGGATGGGGGTGTGTCCCCCTACGGGCGAGATCCGCGGTCTGCCAATGCGTCCGTGATGCTACTGCCCTGAAGGCCTCAGTGCCAGCGGTGATCTCCTCGCACGTGGCCTGGGATTCGTGGCCGAGGTCAGCCCAGAAGAGGGCAGATCGAGGCCACCGGGGGCCCCTCAGCCTCACAAGGGTGTGGCTGAGCCAGAGGGTAGGGAGGGCGTCAGGGCCCTAGTGGGCCTGGGGGCTTCAAAGAGCTTGGGCTACAGTCTTGCTGCTGATTATTTTCTAAATCCGAAAGCCTCGTAGATGTTCCCAAGCCACTTTACTTTTTTTTTTTTTTTTTTTCCCCAAGTTTGAATCTAGTGGTGAAAGTTTGCTAGACTGACCGGTATGTTTTACAGGTGATAAGGTTACCATTCTTACCCTAAAATACATTTCCAACAGTGACTTGGCAGTTGTTCAGAAATATAAAACAAAATAATTTCTCCCCTAAGCCCTCCTCCCTCCCCTGAAATTCCCTACTCTCAGGAGAGAAAGCTGCTTGATAACAAAGCTCTCTCTGGGGGTCTTTTAGTTTTACTAATCACCTTTATTTCATCATAAGTGGTTAATGGGTTAAATAGGGGTCCAGTACAAGGATTTAGTGGCGTTTGAATTTTCAGAGCTCTTGGCCTGGCTGAGGCATTCACTGGGGAGGGAGCTTGGGCTGCCATAAACCTCTGTACCTCAGGCTCCTCAGGTAAAGTGGGGGGGATGCTGGGAGGAGCAAATGAGCTATCTTACAGGAATGCCCTGAAACAGTGCAGATGCCTACTGAGTGCTCAATAAACCTAGGTTTTATTAGCGTTGTTATAATTATTTTATATATATGGTGATAATCTCCTTTACCAGAAGGCGAGACCATGTCAAGGGTGAGAAGCAGACCCCCTGGATCTGGTGGCCGCACTCAGCCGCTGCAGGGCCTGCCCAAGTCTCTTACTTTCTCAGAGGCCGAATTTCCTCTTCTGTGAAGCGGAGGTGGGATGAGAATCAGGCCTCTTCAGACTGGTATTTGGTGGTTCTGATTTCTGCTCACTCAAGTGTAAAATGGAACTGACTCTATTTTTGTCTTTGAAAATTCCATATTAAATATCATAGAACTAGAGAGTCACCCCCCCGCCTTTTGAAGATAATGCTTTTAGCATCTTTTTGGACTTAAGTTCATCTTTAAAATCAGTTCACAAAAGTTTTAATCTCTCTTTTTTTAAAAAATTAATTAATCAAGGTTTTGGCTGTGTTGGGTCTTCGTTGCTGTGTGCAGGTTTTCTCTAGTTGCAGGAGCAGGGGCTACTCTTCGTTGCGGTTCACGGGCTTCTCATTGCGGTGGCTTCTCTTGTTGCGGAGTACACGCTCTAGGCACGCGGGCTTCAGTAGCTGTGGCACACGGGCTCTAGAGTGCAGGGTCAGTAGTTGTGGCGCACGGGCTTAGTTGCTCGGCGGCATGTGGGATCTTCCCGGACCAGGGCTTGAACCCATGTCCCCTGCATTGGCAGGTGGATTCTTAACCACTGTGCCACCAGGGAAGTCCCAAAAGTTTTAATCTCTTAAAGGGTAAAACTGATAATGCCACCATCTCTAATAATAATATAACTAAAATTTCATTTGGCTACGTGTGTGCTATAGAATGAAAAACTGAGGGGTATTATTTATTCTTCTTAGGGATTTACTATCAAAATCAATAATTAACGTTTTTTCTCTCATGTTTTTAGCTAACATATATCACTAAAATACACACACCTGAGCATGTATTATTTTTAAAAAGTCAACTACTACCCTCAATATTCTATACTCAACGATAAATTTATTTTTAAAAAGGGAAGTTTAAAAAGAAATATTTTTTTAAGCAATAAAAGCCAGCAGTTGTTTTGTCTATACATCTCATAAGATGCAGAGCCAGAAGTGTGTGCACACAACATTTTTGTATGAAGAACTGTAGTTTTATCTTTTTAGTTATTAATATGTCATTATTCTTGGCCTGCATAACAACTGTAGTGATAACAGTATTTAATCAGTAGAAGAGTCATTTATTTTTAGAATTAGGCTGGGGTAAATGACAGAGAGGTTGATCAGAGTTTTTAAGCAAAGAACCCATGATAAATGTAAAATAACTAATTCATAGCAGGGGGTAAAAGAAGCATTGTAGGCTGCGGTGTAGAAATTCTGAAAGCCTTTGGAGTAGATGGAACTTTGTGAACAAAAAAAATAAAGGTGCAGTCTCTATTTTGCAAATGAAACCTATTGCTTATGTAAAGTAAAAACAGCCAGAGAGAAATATATATTTTTAAATAATAGATTTTATTTTTATGAAAGTTATACAGCTATGTAGTTTAGAAAGTCAGAAAACGACACAAGTCTTACTAGGAACAAGAGTTTCCTATCTCCTGCTCCCCATATCTCACCTCCCAGAGGCAACTATTTTCAAGTCTTGTAGCTATGTCTGTAGGTATTTGACTTCATACCTCTAAATAACATTATTTTTTATTTTTTTCACGTTTAGGTCTTATTTCTTGCCATCCCAGGGGAAGATAGTGATTTAGTTTTCTTCTACTGCCTGTTAACCACACACTCAAGCTTTCCTTCCAGTCATCCTTTCAATATGATCGTGTCAGGTTTTTTTTTGGTTAACTCAGTATTCAGTGTCTGTATTATTATTACCTTCTAAATGCTATATGTAGTTGAGCCATATAAGCCACTACAATGATATTTCTTTATTGCCCTACTTGTTTTCCTTGGGGTTAAAAATATAGTCTATTTTTGCTTAGTTTCCTATGAACTTATAACTAAATCATCTACCAATTCTCTATTTTAAGCCTCCTGAGTTGCTCCAGTTTGGTTATTTTCTAAGCATACCACATGGTTGCCACTCTGGATTCTTTCTTCCACATCCTCTGCAACTCTGTCACCTCTCCCTTTTGAGCTAGATCCCTATGTGTTCCTATTTCTTGGTTTATGCCCTTCTTTTGGTGGAGCACATCCTCCAGGAGCTTTCTGAGAAAGGATGGATGAGAGCTAAAGTTTGAGACCTTTCATGACTGAAATTTCTTCTTCCTACCCTTATACATAACTATAGAATTCCAGGTTGGAAATAATTTTTCCTCAACATTTGAAGAATTGTCATTTACATTCCAGTGGTGCTATTGGAAAGCTTGATTCGACTGTGATTTTTGACCTATTGTTTGCTATTTGCTTTTTTTTTCTGTAAGTTTTTAGAATCCCCTTTTTCTCCCAGTGTTTTAACGTTTCATTTTGATTGTACTTGTGTGCCCATATTTTGCCGTATGCCCTTTAGGGTATTGAAGGGTAAGTCTCTTCCGTTCACAAACTCATGTCTTTTAGTTCCGGGAAAATGTCTTAAATTATTTCTTGTATTCCCTCATTTTCTCTGTTCTCTCTTTCTACAATTTGTTTTATTTGTATGTTAGGCTTTCTGATTTGGGACTCTGTTTTTCTCATCCCTTTTCTCCTATTTACCACCTGTCTTTTAAAAAAAATTCCTCTTACTTAGATGTTTCTTTGGCTACTCCCACAGTTACTATTGAGTTTTAGTTTCAAATTTCTGCTGTCATATTTTCAATTTGCAGTACATGGCATATCTTGTTTTGCTTCCATGGAATAACCTCTCTTTTCCCTTGTAAGTTTAGAACTAAATAGAAGATGGATGCAAGAGTCAGATGGAGAATATGAAAATGTCATTTTTATTATTGATAACCTATTGGAGGACATGGCTTTAGATCTGTTGCCAAAAGGGCCTGCCTGCTATTACTTCCCCTCATAATTAGGCAGGGTCATCCACTAGATCACAGGTAGCACTGCAGGCCCCCCTCCAGGACACGCCCCTTACGACAGGGTGAAAGTTGCCCGTAATGCGTACTCTCTGCAAGCAGACACGCCCCAAAGAGGAAGGAAGAAAGGGCTGAGTCCAGTGTGCCCAGTTGTCTTTTCCAGACTCAGCAATCAGACAGTTCCCTCCTTCTCCTCCCCCATGGGAATGGGAGGAGAGGGACAAATGAAGGCACATGGGGAGATGAAGAGTGGCCTTCTGTTAGAGGTTGCTCCAAATGTAAACCTGAAAGGGGGAAAGGGTATCACCCTAACTCAGGTATGCTTCCTGGGTTGTTCTGGGGTCTCTGAACTGACTTCTCTGTCCACCCCTTTGTACTTCTCTCTGCTGTTCTGAGAGTGATTGCAAGAACGTGTCGCAGTAGAGGGAGAAGCCACTTAACAGAAGACACTGGGGGAATCAGATAGTGGAGGGTAACATGGAATATCACATGTTCTTTGGCAAGGGGGAAAAAATAGAGCAGAATGATGAAAAGTCTATCCAGGAACTTGGAATCACATCATCATTTCCTCTTCTAGAAGTTTAACAATTTGACCAAAAATGTTAGTACTTATATATTTAAATATCTATTTAATATACTTAAATATACTCAATATATGTTTAAATATTTATATATTTAAATATACTTAAGTGTAGCAGAAATTATTTTAATTGACCTCCACTTAAGCAGCTTGCAGCGTTAGCTGATGCTCTCCTTTTCTCTATAAACTTTATTGGCTGTCTGTGAACGCTGGTAGCTGGTATACTTCTCCCATGTTTGCCAGCACATTTCTCATAAATCTGTTTAAAGCAGTTGTACTTATTATTATAAGTATGCAATTTAATTAGTTATTATGTAAACTGATGAAACATGAGTAAGAAGAGAAAGCTATTTCAGTGAAAACTATTTTCAACCTTCCGAAAGATTGTATAGAGGCATGTTGCTAAAAATACTTGCTGTTGAATTAGGCATGAATTAAAAAGCCATAAGAGATTAAGGAACATTCTACAAATGTAGAAGGACTCTGCATTCTGACTGTTCGGCCAGTGTCATTAAGTGCTTGCTCCAACTTAAACTGGGCGATAATGTGCACTATGGGTTTGTTTTGTGGGAGAAAAACAATACCTGACCCATGAAGATGGGAGTTAGGATTTCGTTTTCAGAATTGGACCACGTTGTCCACACAAAACAGATGGGATCTACAATAATTCCAGTCTGCTCAGATAGGCTCAGTGCTGCTCTGTGTCACTCTTGCTTGGTCCAAGCAGGTACTGACATTTAAAGAAAGAATGTGTCTATCACAAGGGGTTGGTCTTAGTGGTGATGGGAAGAGAGAGAAGGAGAAGGGCCAGGGCTGTAAACATAGAAAAGAAGTGACAGAGAGGCCAGTGTTGGGCACAGCCCATCCAGGACTTGGGGAAGCCTGTGCTGTGGCCTGAGGACACAGCCTGTTCAGGCCTGGGCCAGGTGTAGCTCTTAGACGGATGCTTTGGGTTATCAAGACCTGATGCCTTTGGATGCTTGAACCCTGCAGCTGATCTCCCTGATTCTGACGTCACCCTCACTAACATCCTTCTGCTTATAATTTGGCTCCTCAATGAACACTCCCAGGTCTATGTCGGCACAAACGTGTTTGTGACCACTGTGGTCCTCATTGAAATTAATCTTCACTTCAGATTATCTAAAAATATCTGTTAGGTTATTGGGACTCTGCTCCCCCAAGCAATGACTCTAAAACTTGTCCAGCCTTAGCCCAGGCTGTTTTGGGAGACACCTTGGCTCTTTTGTCATTTAGAGGACTAGAATCAAATCGGAGCTAAAACAAGTGTCTAGATCACAGTGAGTAATGAGAAGTTTCTTCAAAAGCTTCCTTACTGAAACATCTTGAAATTTGACTATTCATCCCAAATATATAACTATATTTCCAGGCACAAACAACACCTACTCCCACAGTTATAAATCTATCGGAGTTTTGTATTGTTTTAAAAACTTGTTCTGCAGACTTTGAGCCTGTCGCCTGAGCCCTTTTGTCGTAAGAAATGTCAGAGTCATGATCTAACACTCTGAATTAACCTGTGCAGTAAACGAAATGTCAACAAGAGCCTGGCCCTTCGCGCAGGCTGCCAAGGAGGCTTTGGCACAGCCTGAAGTTTGTTCTGCATCTTTCAGCACCCATGCTTTTACAAAGAACATACACAACCTGCAGGGCTGGCACGCATGGCGATAATGTGGTTATGGCACCCAGGCTTCTCCTCTCCTCCATGTGTGCAGAAAAGCACAGCGGGCACTGTCTTGGGGGCCAGGGGCCATCAACAGTGATCAAAATAACTGGATGAAGGCCAGGTCCCCACTTCCCTCTCGTCCGTTGCAGCTCTTACGTGGCAGACAATACTATTCTGCTCTTCTGCAGCTGCTTAAAGCCTCTCAGCTCTGACAGTGTGGTTGTGAACTGAGAGCACATGGGGAGGGACCTGGAATCTCGGTAACTATTTCCTATATATGTTGAGACGGCTTGAGAAAAAGGGTTCTACATTCAGACTGCAGAAAGCCTGTAGCACTGGCTGCATCCTCTGATTTGCCAAATGAAAGCTTTCTCAGGAAAGTAGGTTTACTATTGCTAGTAAAAGCATAAAAAGCAGTTGACAAGCCTCACTAGCTTATATTGGGCAAATCTGGTAATTTATTTGAAGTATTTTTTTAAAGGAATTCATTCTGAAACAATTGTGTATGTTTGGAAAAGATGTAAGAACGTATAAAGCACCTCCTATAGCCTTCAGCCAGATTTTCACCAATGGTTAGCATTCTGCTGGTATGCTTTGTCATTCTGATCTCCCCCTTCCCTCCCTTGCCCCTCCAAATATATACACATGTACATATACATGCACAAATATTACTATCTTTTTATGAACCATTTGAGAGTAAATAGAGCTATCATGCTCTTTTACCCCTGAAAACTGAAGTGTGTGTTTCCTAAGAACAAGGACATTCACTCATATAACCACAGTAGAATTATGAAAAGCAAGAACTTTAACACAAACACAATACTATTATCCAATTTACAGACCTTATTCAAATTTCTCCAGTTGTCCCAATAATGCTCTTTATAGAAAAACTTTTATTATTATTTTTCTAAGGTCCAGGATCCAATCCAGGACCACACACTGCAGTCAGCTTTCTGTTTCTCTAAGTCTCTTTTAGTCTAGAACATTTCCTCAGGCCATCTTTGTTTTTCATGAAAGTGACCACTTTGAAGGGCGCGGGTCCGCTATTCTATACACTGTCCCCCAAGCTGGGTTTGCAGCGGCTTCCTTCTGATTAGATTCAGGTCGCCCACTGTGAGGTTTGGGGCCCGGAGTGTGTTACACTAGGGGACTCCTGAGTCTGCTCCCATGGTGGGTGATGTTGATGTCCATCACTTTGTTATGGTGGCGATGGATAGCTTTCTCCACTGTCAAGCTATTATTCTGCCCTTTGTAATTCATGAATAATTTGTGAGGATTCTTTAGGACTTTAGCCGTGCCCTGTTCCTCGTCCTCCGTGCAGGGGCGTTTCACGCGTCTGTTTGTTCCTCCCCGCAGTGGTGATCATGTGTGCGAGCAGCGACACCATCCGCGGCATCATGCTGGCGGCGCACAGGCACGGGATGACCAGCGGAGACTACGCCTTCTTCAACATCGAGCTCTTCAACAGCTCTTCCTACGGTAACTCTGCCTCCGGTTTCCCCTCCCACTGCCAGGGTGTCAAAAAGGGATTGTGAGACAGGGCCAATAACTTGAGTCATCTCTGTAGATTTGATTTCCATAGATAGGGTTTTAGAAATTTGTGATTCTGAACACTCCCACTTCTCATAAGGTCTCAAGCTTTCCTTCTCTGAGAACTCAGAGCAAAAAGTTACCACCACCTGTGATGCCAAGGGACTTGGGGAGAACATAGCTCACTCCAGCACTCCAAAAGATCATAAATCCAGGCCCTGAGGACCCCTCCCCAGTGCATTTCCAACTTTGGGTTGCCACCATGATGGACTGCTGGAGTAATTTTAGAGAGATTTGGACAGAATTTTTAGTAGCATGGAATAGACTCGAACACATCAACGTAATAGAATAGAACATGTCAAAGTGTGTCACACATAGCATATGTATGGTTTCATACAACTTTTATTTTAGGAATATGATTACATGTTTGTGTGTATATATTTATGCATGTTACACATGTATTTGTAATGGGCCACAATGTGAAATAAATAAAATAACCATTACTGTAAATCGAGGTAAAAAATTTTGAAAGGTGCTACTCCCAGTCCCTCCTCCTTCCAGATTACTGTCTCTTAGCTTCTCTTATAAAAAGTTGGGGAGCTTGGGCTTCCCTGGTGGCGCAGTGGTTGAGAGTCCGCCTGCCGATGCAGGGGACACGGGTTTGTGCCCTGGTCTGGGAGGATCCCGCGTGCCGCGGAGCGGCTGGGCCTGTGAGCCATGGACGCTGAGCCTGCGCGTCCGGAGCCTGTGCTCCGCAACGGGTGAGGCCACAACAGTGAGAGACCAGTGACTGCAAAAAAAAAAAAAAAAGTTGGGAAGCCACTAACAGTTACAATCAAAAGCATTTAACTCCTTAAAATGGATCTGGGGAAGTTCCCAGGGTTCCTGTGAAGGAGGGTGTTCTAGGAAGTCATCAAGATCGCAGGTATAAAACATTTTCCCCAAATGTGGTTAGGGCTCTCTCTGAAGTAAACAGTGTAGGGCTATGGACCATTTTCTCAAGTACTGCACATTGGCAGTTACAGGGGAACTGTAAGTGTGTGTATCACGAATAGCATGTTCATGCTGAGCTCCACTTCTCAGTTATCATGGTCGAGATATAGTTAGATGGGATCTAAACCTTAAAGCATATGCCTCAGTTTCCTGCTCTGATAAGCTCCTGGCTTACTTAAGCAGTAGGTCATTGTGCATAAACGTAATGAATCACACTTCTCACGGGAATAAAGCAAAGTTGTTGAAGCAAAAGTAACCTCTCTTCCTGTAGCGGATAAAATTGAAGATTTGAGGCTTGCAGGATAAACACCCAGTTTTCCCTTGCTTGCTCCCATCACTGTCTTTCCCCCTATCTTTACACAAGCAGAGTGGCAGTTTTGCTTCTTGACCCAAGATCAGAATGTAATTACATCATTGGTTACGGTATTGAATTCGTCGAGACAGTGGTAGAGACTGGTGAAAAATGAAAAAAATTTATTCTGAGTTTTGCAAGTTGGCTACTGCAAGCATAGCATTTTGGCGCAATGCATGTGAATGCATGTTATAAGTGAGCAGGTACAAATTAGGTACTGGAATTCCTTTCATCCACGGATAGAGCTTGCATTACTTTTCCCTGCTCATTACAATACACAAGTATTATAGAAAATTTGAGAAACATAGAAAAGCATAGGGAAGAAAATAAGTTACTGAAACTCTGCCATGCAGATAAAGGTACATTGATAATATTTAGATGTCCGTCTTGTCTATTTTATTAAAAATTATATATTTATGAAAATTTTTCAATAAAATGATCATACTATCTATAGTATGGATACATAGTATTTTATAATGCTGATATGCCATCTTTCTTAATCAGTCTTTTGTTTTTTAATATTTATGTTGTTTCCAGCTTTTTGCTGTAAGAGCAATGCTATATTGAGTTGCCTTGCCATGTGCATTCATGTGTGCACATACATACACACGTAGGTATGTGTGTGTAATCTGTAAGACAAGCTTCTAGAAGTAGAATTCTGGGTCAAATGTTACATGCATTTAAATTTTGATAGATATTGCCAAAGTTGTCCTCTAAAGAGGTTTGCCAATTTACATTTTTGCAACGGTGTATGAGATATTTTGTTTTCCTGTATCTCTGTCAACCCTGTATCATCTAACTTTTAAATTATTTTATTTATTTGAATTTCTTTTTATGTCCATAAGCAGAGTTTTGCAGTTTTCTTTATTTGAATTCTGCACCATTCTTGCTGAGTTCATTCTTAGACATTTTATGTTTTTTGGTTTTTATTATGTTCATGATCTTTTCCTATTACATTTTGTAACTGTAGTTGTTATGTAGAAAACAAGAATTCCACATATTAAATCCTCTGTTCTAATAGATTTTCTTAATCACTTTCAAATAATAACAGTAGTTATGCCTCCATTTTGATAGTTGAGTGTTATATTTATCTTTCTTTTCTTACTGCATTGGCAGTAGCCTCTAGAATAATATTATATAACAATGGTGATACTTAATTTCTAGTATCTTGTCAGAAGTAGATGTTAAAATGTTCTTTAGTTTATGAAATGGTTTTAAAAATTGGAAGTGAGTGCTATCAAATATATTTTATATATATATTTTATCTGTACTCTTAATAAACTTCCTAGTATTGAGCCATTATTGTATTCTTGGAAGTAAGCATAGTTTGTCATGATTTTTTTAGATGTATTGCTGATTTTAACTTTTTAGTGTTTTACTTACGATTTTTGAATCTATACTCATGAGATTAGACAGTTTTCTTGCATTCAGGTGGTATTGTCAGATTTTAATATCAGGTTAATATTAGCTTTATAAAATTAATTGGGACACTTTCCATTGTTTTTATGCTCTAGAACAGTTTATATACCATAAGAATATTCCTTGAAACAATTCAACTCTCTATCTGGACCTAACTTCTTTTCAGAGGTAATTTTTGGAAAATTAAAAAACAAATCTATTTTGAAATAATTTTAGATGTACAGAGAACTTTAAAAAAAATAGAGTTTGTGTATACCTTTTACCCAGATTCCTCTAATGTTAACAATTTAAATGGGCATAGTACAATTATCAAAATAAGAAAATTAACATTAGTACAATACTACTGACTAAACTACAGGCTTTATTTGAAATTTACTACGTTTCCTCCTAATGCTCTTTTTCTGTTCCAGGATCCAATCTATTTAGTTGTGTGTCTTCTTTTTGTTTGTTTGTTTGTTTGTTTTGCGGTACGTGGGCCTCTCACTGTTGTGGCCTCTCCCGTTGCGGAGCACAGGCTCTGGACGCGCAGGCCCAGCGGCCATGGCTCACGGGCCCAGCCGCTCCGCGGCATGTGGGATCCTCCCGGACCGGGGCACGAACCCACGTCCCCTGCATGGGCAGGCGGACTCTCAACCACCGCACCACCAGGGAAGCCCAGTTGTGTCTTCTTAATCTTCTCCAGTCTGTGATAGTTCTTCAACCTTTCCTTGTTATTTATGACCTGACACTTTGGATAAGTCTGTTATTTTGTAGAATGTCTCTCAATTTGGATTTATCAGGTGTTTTCAAATGATAAGTTGAGTTTACACATTTTTGGCAAGAATACTACAAAAGTGGTGCTGTATCCTTCCTAGTGCAAAATACAAGTGCATAAGAAGTCATGTATATGTATATACATATGTATATGACTTATTATTGGCTTTATGTATGTATGACTTATTGTTGGTGATTTTTGGGACAACTTTTTAAAACTTATTTTCCATTAGTTCAGTTTTTCTGCTTCTTGAAAACTGAATTGCATGGAGTTATACAATGTGCTCTGATACAATCTACCAAATCCTTGGTTTTTCTTTTTTCAAATTTTTAAAAATTTATTTATTTTATTTTTTAAAACTTTTTACTTTATATTGCAGTATAGTTGATTAACAATGTTATGATAATTTCAGGTACACAGCAAAGTGATTCAGTTATACATATACATGTGCCTATTTTTTTCAAATTCTTTTCCCATTTAGGTTGTTACATAATATTGAGCAGAGTTCCCTGTGCTATACAGTAGGTCCTTGTTGGTTATACATTTTAAATATAGTGGTGTGTGCATGTCAATCCCAAACTCGGTAACTATCCCTTCCCCCCACCCTTTCTTTCTGGTAACCATAAGTTCGTCCTCTAAGTCTGTGAGTCTGTTTCTGTTTTGTAAATAAGTTCATTTGTATCATTTCTTTTTAGATTCTGCATATAAGCGATATCATATGATATTTCTCTTTCTCTGTCTGACTTACTTCACTCAGTATGACAATCTCTAGGTCCACCCATGTTGCCGCAAATGGTATTATTTCATCCTTTTTAATGAATGAGTAATATGCCATTGTATATATGGGCCATATCTTCTTTATCCATTCCTCTGTCGATGGACATTTAGGTTGCTTCCATGTCTTGGCTATTGTAAACAGTGCTGCAATGAACATTGGAGTGCATGTATCCTTTCAGACCATGTTTTTCTCTGTATATGTGCCCAGGAGTGGGATAGAGGGATCATATGGTAGTCCTACTTTTAGTTTTTTAAGGAACCTCCATACTGTTCTCCACAGTGGCTGTACCAATTTACATTCCCACCAACGGTGTGGGAGGGCTCCCTTCTCTTCACGCACTCTCCAGCATGTAGATTTTTTGATGATAGCTGTTTTGACTGGTGTGAGGTGATATCTCACTGTAGTTTTGATTTGCATTTCTCTAGTAATTAGCGATGTTGAACGTCTTTTCATGTGCCTCTTGGCCATCTATATGTCTTCTTTGGAGAAATGTCTATTTAGGTCTTCTGCCCATGTTTTGATTGGGTTGTTTGTTTTGATGCTATTAAGCCACTTGAGCTGTTTGTAAATTTTGGAGACTAATCCCTTGTTGGTCACATCATTTGCAAATATTTTCTCCCAATCTGTGGGTTGTCTTTTTGTTTTATTTATGG